ATATATATATATATATATATATATATATATATACCTTAATTCAATATACAACTCTCTTAAAACACCTAGAAGAAACTAAGACACAATCACTAAATAAACTATATCAATCACCACAGTGAGAAACCCAGTTACAGACCATGAAGTCTAAAATATTCAACTAAAAGCCATTTAAGAAATCGACTTTCGGATTTTAAAACACCTGTCACACGTTTGCTACCAATGTACATTTGCTTGCTCATACAAATCAAGAAAAGTATATGGCTTCCAAGCAAGAAAAATTCAAAGTAATAGCGTCTATAAAGCCGAGAAACAGGGAAACGAAGCCTAAAATAGTCTGAACTAAAAAACTTCATAAAAATTACACGACGCTCAATGCTTTTACAATTGACAAAATAATCTTGACGTTTAAATAAGGTCAGAGTACAAAAAAATAAACAGCTAATTACAGCGAAGGATTTCCCCAAAACATTTACTTATTTACCATCCAGTAAATGCTTTAGAAAACCAAAAACTTTAAAAAAGTCCACAGAAAACGGCCCAATCTTGTCATGAGAATGACGAGCACAAACGAAACCACAGCTTGATTCAAAACTATCCAAAACACAGTGTTCTCGCCAACTATTCGGCTTTCTAATTATTATTCTATAAAACGAAAAATTTTGACAAAATTCTTCATTTTTTTTAAGCCACGATAAACTAGATACCGACGTATAGCTATATGTACCAATTACAAAACTAACTCAAACGTTGACTTTTGAGCTATGAATAGCTTTCTGGTCCACGAAGAAACAAACAGTACCGACTAGTTGCAGCAAAATTCTAAAAGCAGTCATCTTATCGTAAGCAAATTAACTGTCAATCACGTAGAAGTACGAACATCAATAAAAAATAAAGAAAAAAAATCGATAGAAAGATATGAAAGATATTAGGTCGAAAAGATATTACACACACATAAAACTGAAATTATTCAAGACAATAATACCCAGAACCAACGATGTCTGCCGTGAAAATGGAACATCAAAAGCAAAAATTATGAATAAACCGCAACTGACTGGTAATCCATAGCACCATAAAGATAATCTATTCACGTTTTAAATCGTTTTTTTCTATAGCTATAAAGTAGTAATATTTCTTCTATAGCAAATCTATATAGTGCATAAATTATTTTTAAAAAAAATAAAAACTGGGAGATAAAATGCAAATTGGACAATAGACCTTTCTATCTTGGAAGGAAAATAAGAAGCTAACGAAGAAAACGCAAAATACTTTGAGAATCTAAAAAAAAATAACAATTACTGAAACATTAATTTTACACATACAGTTGAGGTCAACGTATTTGAAATTCTACGTTAAAAGATCAAAAACAAATACATAAAAACAAGACGAAAACAAAAGAGAAGTAGCGACGTTAGATAAAGTATTCCCCAAATTTTTTTGAGTTCCATTAACACTTCAAAAAGCAAATTAATTGAAAACACAGAAAAGACTGATCCTGATTAATTACCGATTACCTCCAACGATGTTCATTTGATAATACCCCATCATTCGCTTGTACATAATATTACTTCGAGAAAATTTAATGTTCAGCTGTACGAGAGTAAAAAATTTAACAAAAAAAGAAAGAAAAAAATCTTTTTAAAAAAATCCTGTGCAAATTACAGAGCAAGAATGAGGAAACCTCGATGATCAACAATTAAAAAAAAGACATCAGAAATAATAAACATTTCTTTCGCTGTCGTTAACCCTACAAAACCTAACGAAGCTTTTAACAACAAAATCAACAAAAAAAGTGGCTAAACAAATTAAACCAGTTGTTACCTCGTTACTTCAGTTTATAGTTGACCTTGGTGGTTAAAAAGATGACTATAAAATTCCTAACCTTGATCAGTAAAAAACCCTTCCACAAAATGAGAAAACGAAAAAAAAAAATTCAAAAGACTTTTAAATAAAACAAATGTTTGTAAAGAATTTCCTGTAACTGCAGCGAGGAAACTTCTTAGCAAAGCAAACTCAACAAAAAGGCTAAAAACTTGAAATTTCGACGTAAAAATCGACGAATGGTAAGTCGAACGTAAAGTC